TCACATTTAATCCATAATCATTACACTCTTCTCTCACAAAAAAAGCCAAAAAGTCAAAAAGTCAAAAAACCGTTCTCAGACCAAGCTTTTTAACCCATGCTAAAATAGCTAAAAAAAGTTAAAAAACTAAAAAGTCAACCCACTTCTCAAACGGAGGCATAATATATATGCTGGCGTGACAAATGCAAATGCTGATGTTAAAAAAAAAAAAAAAGAAAAGAAAAGAAAAGAAGAAGAAGAAGAAAGTAATGCAAGAAATGGTTGGAAATTATCTCATCATATATTGTAAAAAATTAATGAAATAGAGAGTTAGAAAAATTACTTTAAAAATTAGGAGGCAATGGAAAAATGATAGCAGCTAATGTGTTCAACCCTAAAAGAAGTTGGATTCCCTGTTCATAATTTATAATTTGGATTAAAATGTATTATTTGAATTTGTGAGACCATCACGAGCTTCGTTTTGATTATTTAAATCGTTTATTTTGTTAAGTCTTTTGTATATATCGTTTATAAAAAAAATTTAAATTAATATAATAATTATAATTTATTCAATTTATTTCTAAAAAAATGAACCATATATCTGCTTTTAAAAATAATTCATTTAACAATAATATTCAATGATCCAAGAATTCATAACTTAAATATATCAAAACGACGTTGTTATATTCAAATCATTAAAATTATAAAAATTTAAGCTATCAAGTATTTTTCTTCATTTAAAGACATGAGGGTTGAGTTGACCTATCCTATATATATTTAATGCTACGCTCTTGTTTGCGTATCCCTTTCAGCTTGCTTGTTTATTGAATAGGTCACATTTGTTTCGAGTTCATTTTGTAAATTGAATAGTACTACTAATCGTAGGGAGTTTTGTAAATTGAATAGTACTACTAATTGTAGGGAGTTTATTATGAGTTCTATTTCAATAATTCGTTGAGCCTTATTTCAATAATTCGTAACGTTCAATATGTAGAATTTATTAAGTATTTTATCTTTATAAAAAATCATGTTGATTAGATATTGATAACTATTTAATCGGATCAAATTTTTGTTAACAATTTATTTTAAAAATTATATTTATCGTTGACCGAAATTTAATCTAATCAAATAACTATCAATATTTAATTAACATAATTTTTTATAAAAATAAAATAGTCAATAAATTTTATATACTAAACAATTTAAATTATTAAAATATCATCTGTAATTACATTTCACAAGTCCAACAATATACTCTACAGCTTATTCCCGATTGTAGAAAAGTCAACCCTTATTGAATTATATCCAGAAAACGCAGCCTCTGACAGCGATGTATAAAAAAAAATTTCCGAACAAGCCGACAATTTTGAAATCTTTGGCTACATTATTGCCGTAGACAAAGTTAGATATCAATTATATAAGGATAAATTACACTAACTTCCCTGAGTTTTCCCACAATTATAAAAATCTATCATTAAAGTTCTAAAACTACACTTATTTTCCCTTTGCTTTCGTTAGGTCATTGTTTTCCTTTTGCCAAGTTGATGACATAAGTATATAATATTTTTTGAAATACTCCACTTTGACTTGTATAAATTTATATAGATATAAATACTTTTTTTACACAAAGCAATGTTTTAAAATCCGGATCGAATAGACTGATTCAATCGTCGACCGGTCCAAATCAACTCTCAAACCCAATCTTCTTCTAGAACTAGTTTATTTTTTGAAAATTGCTCTAAACCGTAGTCGAACCAATATACGTTCAAGCAAACCGACTGAGTCTATATATGGCTTTAAAATGCAAAATGTCATATTAAAATGTTTGCAGTGGGAGTGAAACTCAAGCCATCATGGATATGTAAGTACAATACCAACTACCAAACTAGCTTTGTAATTATGCAATACACATGAGAAGTTTAATATTTATATAGTTTCTAGTTTTTTTTAAAAACATTTTTAAATGCATAAACATTTAAAATTGTATATATTTTTATAATTATTTGTGACGTAATTATGACGTCATAATTCAATCCGATTTGATTCAACGGTTGAACTAATGATTCATCCACTCGATTTATTTTTCGATTCGTTCACTAGTTTGGATTTTAAAACATTGTTACAAAGTGAAGAACAATAAGACTTTATATTAAGGAAATGAATAAATAATTGGTTGTAAAATGATTGGTTGTATCAGTAATAATATAAATGAACAAACAGTTAATTAGTCAAATGAAAAATGTTTAGAAATTCTAATTGAGCACCCATAATTTATCTCTAATAATGTGAAATGGACTCCACTCTTTACTCCTCATTTTTCCTCTCTCTATCTCTCTATTCTACCTCAGTAAAAGTCAAGATAGGAGTGATATATTAAGAGGATGTAATACCACTCTTAGTCAAACAAGAAGACTGTAATATCTTAGGTAAAATCTTTTATTTTTACCGGCATAAAAATAAAAAATAATATCAAAAAATATAAACAAATAATTTTATTTATCTACATTTAATTAAAAGGCATGTTTTCTTATATTAAAAGCATTTATATGTAGTAGAAGAGTATTAGTTACTTATTTTATTCACATGTTTGAATTGAGAAGTTTGAAGTGATTATTGCCTCGTTGGAGCTAATCATCTAAAAAATATATAAATATTCTAAAACATTACATATTTTTATTTTTTCAATAAATATTATAATAAGTTAATGTATAAATTATAAATTTTTTTTTTTAAATGCGAGAGAAGGGGCGAGCTATTAAATATTCTAAAACATTACATATTTTTATTTTTTCAATAAATATTATAATAAGTTAATGTATAAATTATAATTTTTTTTTTTAAATGCGAGAGAAGGGGCGAGCTATATACTTTGAAGAAAAATAAAAGTGTAGTAATAGAATTTTTTAAACGTTAAAAGCTAAGTTATACTTGCATTTCTAGGAGTAGATTCAAAACTTAAAATAAAAAAAGATAAAAAATAAAAATAAAAATAAAAGTGAGAAGTAAAGTTTTAAAAAACGGCCGCAATCATTATGTAATGTTGTTATAATCGGATGTGGTAGTTACCGCCATCCGTTGGCCATTATAGCAGTATGATGAAAATTTACATGCCATTTCGGTGTTACATAATAGTCATAATGGTACCGTAACAGTCGTAACAATTCATTACACACCGTTACACCTTTTTATAATATTCTGAATAGTTTCCTTTCCCAAAAAAAAAGAGAGAAAGAAAAAGTTTAGAAAACCAAGACAAAGACTCAAGTGATTCAAACTCAAAGAAAAAATCTTATATGAATATTTTTTCTTTATAATTTTTTTTAAAATTTTTATTTCCTTACATTAGCATGTAAAATAAAAAAATATATAAACAGTGGTTGCATTTATTTTTATAATACTTTTATTTAATATTTCTTGTTTTGTTACTATAATGTGTTGTCTAAAAAATGTATGTAAAAAATAAAATAAAATCAGTAGTTCAAAAATAATTTTTGTTTATGGCAAAATTTTTATTTTTATAATCATTTTATTTAATACTTAATTGTAAATAATTTTATTTAGTTAGCTTTGAAGTATTGTCTAAAAAATGTCTCAAAAATGATTTTTGTTTATAGAATAATTTTTATTTTTATAATCATTTCATTTAATAATCGAGAATATTTTTTATTCAGTTAATTCAGATATTGGTCAAAAATAATTTATAAATATTTAAAATCAATTATTTTTAAAGTCATTAACTGTTATTATGCTACGACTTTCACACTCTCAAATCGCAACTATTTTTCGGAGCCTTGGTGAGGATTGATTAGAGAAAGAACAAATTCGTTAGTTCTAGGAGGTGAGATTTGGAGTTTTGATTAGGGTTAATTAGAAAGGAAAAAGTATCATCTCACAATATATTTCATTATTTAATTAGAAATATCTCTAGACAAACAACGGAAAAAATGGTAATCTAGAAGGTCTAAAGCTACAAGGGCGGTAAGTGTAATTTCAGAAACGTGAAGGGAGGTTTCTGTAATTAGCATATACCTGAGGGAAGGTCAGTGTAATTCATCCACTATATAAACCCAAGTTGATCATTGGCTCCTCCCCTCCAGAACTCGTGAGAAGATAATATGTCGACTCTTCTTTCAAGCTGGTCTAAGGATGTTAACACCGTGCCACAAAAATTTGTTTTCCCACCGGAAGAAAGGCCAGGAGACCTTCCAGCTCCTCTATGCAAGGGCATTCCAGTCATTGATCTACAACAATCAGGGGGTCATCATGACAGAGCTGACTTACTTCACCAAATTATAAAAGCTAGCCAAGAACTTGGCATGTTTCAGGTTCATTTTTATTAATCCTTACTTTTTTGCTCTTCATATATGTTATATTTGTTTAACCAAATGATTCAATCAATTATGATTATATAAAACAGGTGATCAACCATGGAGTATCAGAGGAACTAATGGATGATACAATGAGTCTGTTCAAGGAGTTCCTTGACATGCCTGAAGAAGACAAGGCCAGTTATTGTTCTGAGGACATAACTAAGAGCTTCATGCTCTACACAGGCAGTTCTAATTCTAATTTGAATAAGAAGGGTAGTGGTACCTACTGGAAGGATTCAGTGAAACATAGTTGTCATCCTTTAGAGGATCACATCCAATCTTGGCCTGAAAAGCCTGCTAGATACCGGTATACTCCGCAACCCCATTTGTCCATTTATATTAATCTAGTCTTATTGTTGTGTACTTGTGTTGAGTTGAGTTGTATACGTTTTTTGTTAATTGTCTTTTCAGAGAGGTTGTTGGGACATATTCAGTGGAAGTGAGGAAGTTAAGTTTGAGGATTTTAGATCTGATTTCTGAAGGATTGGGACTTGAAGAGGGGTATTTTGCAGATGAACTGAGTAAAACCCAAGGACTGATAGTTAATCATTACCCGCCATGTCCAAACCCGAGTTTGGTCTTGGGAGTCGGTGGACACTTTGAGACCCAAATCTCTTAACCATACTTCAGCAGGAGGAGTATGGGCTTCAAATGTACAAGGATGAGCAGTGGGTTGGTGTTGAACCTCTCCCTCATGCATTTGTTATCAACATAGCTAACCAATTAGAGGTATATCTCCACCCCATTGTGCATAAATGTAGACAGTTTACATATTATTGCCACTTTCAATTCTATGACTCTGTCTGACTAAAAATCTTTAACTAAATGCAAACTCTGTTGGGCTTGTATGTAGTTGATCAGCAATGGGAAGCTAAAAAGTGCTAAACATCGAGCAGTGACAAATTCAAGCATTGCTAGGACATCCATAGTCACTTTTATTTCTCCATCTAGAGAATGCGTCATCGAACCTGCAAAAGCACTTGTTAAATCAGGCAATCCCCAACTGTTCAAAGGAGTTCAGTACAAGGAGTTCATTAACACTTACGCGGGCAAGATTAAAGACCCTAAAGATACGACATTGGAGTCCTACAGGCTCCAAGCTTAGTTATGGTCTGTGGAAGGAAAATGCAAATCAAATAAGAGAAGTCATAACATAGGTTCATGTAATTGATCAAACTGCTTGCCTACATTCTCAGAATAAAATGCAATTCAGTCTGCAGCTCAACCAAAACTAATGCCCGTTATAGTTTTTCATAACTCGCTGTGAATCTTTTCGATTATTAGTAGCGGCTCGTGAAGTATCCATCTTTCTTTACAAAAAGAGTGGATACATGCCCCTTTAATTACTTTCTATTATATGTAAACCGATATTAGTTGAATGCAATTTCCAAGCACACTGCTGGTACTACCTATCAAAATGTTGCTAATGTGAAGAAGTTCCAAAGTTTTGGTTCACTCTGACACGCATTCCCAATTCAAAATCTTGTTATAACAGATGCATATTTATTAAACCCGATGTGATTCTTTCATGAGAAAGCAAAAATTTAGTTAAAATCAACCAAACTAAACCAAATAGAAACAGCTGAAGTGAAGAAGTTTCACATAAATCTGTACTAGTGATCACCTCCAGTGGTCTCTAAACAAGCTGCCATTTCCAAATTATACCAGCTTATAAAAAGCTACAATAATCTAAGCAATGTTTAGTCCGCATTTTGAATGGCATTGTAAATTTGTTTTGGGCATTGCTGTATCCATTGGAGATCATGTGGCACAACATATCATGTTTGTTTTGTTGTGCCTCTTGGAGTTGGTATTGGTCTTGGTGATTACTATATTATCAGTTTCACTAGACAAACTCTCATTGGCCCCAAAAACCAAACAAATTTCACTTCTTTCTATGCTTTGATCCTTCAAATTTTGGATGCTCAAATTTCCCTGTTTTTGTTGCTGGCCCTGCTCTTATCAGTCGACAAACATGAATTTGATTTCCCTTTTGCATATCACAAACACTGGTGAATCATACAAGCATAAAAAAAACTATATATATATATATATATGCATCTTATCTTATCTTTTCTTTTCTTTTCTTTTCTTTTTTTCCTTCTGGAAGTTGTCATTAAGGATTTCTAATTATTAAAAAAAATTTAGGTCAAGTTTGGCAAGTTGAGAAAAAGTTAAAAAGTTAAAAAGTTATCACTATTCATCAAAAGTCAAAAATTACGGTTGCACAATTCCCAAATCTTAATTTTCCCCTACACACTAATTTATATAATTTTTTAATACACATTTTTTCATAAAAAGTCAAAAAGTTAATCCGAACATTCATATTTTTTTCCTCAAATTTTTAATCCAAAAAGACAAAAAATATACTTATTTAAGATACCCCAAACAACCCCTAAGTCATGTTCCCTTTTAATTATTTTACACTTTCATTATTATATATATATATATATATATATATGCGCGTGTGTGTGTGTGATGCGTGTGTGCGTGTTCTTTTTGTTAAATTGCTTTCAGTTGACCAAGTTAATTTGCAAGACTAGCTCGCAACAGCCTACCTAAGGTTATGTATGGAGATTTAGTTAATTTAAATTGCAAGGCTTTAGTTAATTCATTTTTAAATTGCTTTGAGTTGACTTAGTTAATTAGCAAGACTTAGTTAATTTAATTTGCAAGATCATAAATAATTTTCATTTTGTTTCTTTTGGTCAGAAATCATCTGTTTTTAAAATTTTCTATTCCCTTGTTTCAAATTATCTATACTCATTGTAAATGATTTCAAATTAGAAAAGAGAGAAATTTAGAAACAAATGGAGGATTCTAGGACATTTCTAACCGGCTATGAAAATGTCAAAGACTACTCATATGACGATGAGGCCGAGCTTGAAAGCAATATAAAGAATTCCTTTTGTTGGTCATATTTTTTTTCGAGGCCTGAAACCCCAATTTCTGTTTAGAAGATTTAAGTGGAAATGTGAGTGATTTATAATTAGTCTTGGTATTTTAACAAGATTTATTAAGGTTATGTTTGATTCAAAAATTTAGAAAGTATTTGAAAAGAAAAAGGAAAAAGTGTGTAAAATATAGGTGAAACATAATTATATTTTATTTATATTTCACATTTTTTTTTCTTTTTTTTTTAATTTTATTTTTTTATCTACGTCTATGAACCACTTCTTGTCTTCAACGTTTGCTTATATCCTTTGGTAATCATTTCGCTGTCCCTTCCCACCTGCCCTCCTCGCCGAAAGTCTATGCTGTAGCTTACCTTGTTTAGCGTAAGGGGGTCCTGTTCCGACGGGAAGGTGTTGTCGTAATAAATGCTGTGATGGGCTGCATTAATGGTGATGTGCAATGGCAATAACTTTACAGATCTTTGTCTGCTGATGTGGCTCGTCCTTCACCTGCCATGTGTCTGAATGCCACCAGTTGGGTTATGTATTGGGCTGCAAGTGATGGGCTTGGGTTGTTTATAATGATTCATGGCCTTTGTAGACTTGTACACGTCAGTAGTCCCCCATTCCCGAGTGCAGCTTTAGTCCAGCGAAGGGAATAGTAATGAAGAAGGTGAGGGTGTTAGGAAGTGGTAGTATGGAGGTCGACCGGCGGGGGTGACCGAGCTGGTGAACCGACTGGGAGGTGGTCCGATCGTGCAGGGCGACCAAGTGGGAGGGCCGACCGCGAAGAGGGTCGACCGTGAAGGTTGGCCGAGTGGGAAGGTCGACCACGAGGAGGGGCAACCATGAAGGTTGGTCGAGCGGGAGGGCCGACCGTGAAGAGGGCGGTCGCGAAGAGGGCTAACCGCGAATGTTGGCCAGGCGGGAGGGCCGACCATTGGGGAGGGCCGACTGCGAAGGGTGAGGTGGAGGGGCGTGGGGCTCAAGAGGCGGCGTGTCGCGTGGTGATTTGAAGTGGAAAAGACAGGGTAAGGGAAGGAGACAGTGGATCGTGGTCGTACATGTGGCAACATCCCGTAGGGGGGGAAGATTAGGCGTTGGATCAGAAATGAAACGTTAGGTCATTATAGGTGTTGAAGAGACAGTTTTGGCGGATGATTTTGAAAAGTTTTCAAACTAGCAAAAATGAATTGGGATCCTTGGAATACGGGCAAACCGTGGGCTTTTGGCATTATTCGATTCACTTACTTGTTTACGAAAAATCAAAATATTCCAAGTGTGAATTCCTTTGTTGCTCACGATACACCTCTGCAACACTTTTTCGATTTCCTTACACCTGCCTCTGAAGCGATTCACAGACATACCACAGAAATGGCCCAAGAAGGAACTGCGATTGTCAGGGTGGACCCACTTGGAGATGATGATGCAGTGGAGTTAGCGCAGCAATACAGGATGGAGAGGGTGGGGGAGTCGATTGTACGATCCCATGGTTCCACCATGATAGCAGCTCCAAAGCCAATCAACTAGGCAGAACCTGATCACTGGCACACAAAGGCAGATAAATCAACGGTCACTGCAGTAGATTTGGAGGCTATTCGCGAAAAATACCAGGTGCCTGCCGAAATAGAGTTGTCGTTGCCGATGTCGACGGAGAGGCCATCCGATGCCAGGCTAGGGCAGTTTGCCCTTTATGAAGAGGCATTGAAAGGAGGACTGAGGCTGCCCCTGCCGCAGGTGGTAGTAGATGTCCTAAATCGCTTGGAGGTGGCGCCGGGCCAACTAATGCCCAACGCGTGGAAGATCTTGCTGTCCTGTGTAAGTGCCTAGCCAAAGGCGAACGAAGGGGCGGCCATGACGGTGGACGAATTCTTCGCGTGCTACAAGGCCTCGGGGCAGCAAGAGACCTGGGTCACTCTGTAGGCAGCAGCAGGGAAAGGGCTGGTGGCGGGGCTGCCGTCGTCGATCAAGGAGTGGAGACCACGGTGGTTCTATGTGTCTACTAGTGGAGGAGTCAGAGCGCGGACCATTTGGAAGGTGCCCACCAAGTCGATGGAGCCAAGGTTGGGAGCAGCAGCAGAGGAGAGGGTGAAGAGGGTAAAGGAGTGGAGGGAGAAAGAAGGGGCCAAATAGGATAAGCTCGTTCAGCCGTCTGCATTGTTTGAGGCAGGGTTGGGTCCACAGCCGAGCGGTGGGGACCTCGACCGAGCAGAGTTGGAAGCGAGGAGGAGGGCTTAAGAGGCGGAGGATCAGACCATCCTTGCGAAAGCCCAAAAATTCAAAGAGTCCTAGGCTGACCGACCACCAAAACCGGTTGCAAGGGAGAGAATTCGACCTCGCCCCAAACCCTTGAGAGAGAAGGACTTAGGTGAATTTGTGCCGCGACCGCCCCTAATAGACCTTTTGAAAGAGAGGTCTTTGAAAGAGATGGAGGCGTTGGGCGTGGTGAAGAAGAAGAAGATGGTGAGGCGGAGTGAAGAAGAGCCTGCCCAAAAAAGGAGGAGGGAGACGAGGGTAAAGGAGACCAGTGTGGCCAATGAGGCAGATGGGGGGGAAGTGGGGGGGACCCCAGGAAGAGTGATTACCTCAGAAGTGGTGGACATCGCCTCAGAGGGCACGAAGGTGGTGCCAGTAGTGGCGGCAATGGCCGCAGGGGTCACAAGGGCCGCCCCTGAAGGGCAAGTGGAAGATGGGGCAACTGGCCCTAGGCCAAGGAGGGAAGAACAGCCCCAGGAGGGTCCTGCACCTCAAGGAGGGGAAGTCAGTCTGACCACAGCGATCTACCATGCTCGTGCGGTGGCGGGGCGGCTGGAGGGAGAAAAAGGCCCAGCCAGGGCAGGGGCAGACCGCCTGGTAGGGATTGTAGAAGAGGCAGTCTTGCGCTCGGCATCCAGATTCAATGAGGCTGAACTACTAAGGGGGTTATGCTCCGCTCAAATGGAGGTAACCACCTTAGCAGGGGCTCTGCTGAGGAAGACGGGGGCTGCCAAACTCAAGGCAGATGAGGCCAAGGCTCAGCTTACAAAGTTAAAGAAGAAGAGTGCAAGTTGGGAGAGTGCCCACGCTGATCTGCAAGTGGTTAAGATGGAGCTGGAGAACACACGCCGCCAGGTTGTGTCGCTCGAGTTCCAACTGGCTGGCGAGCAGAAGAAGTCGGATGAGGCCCAAAAAGCTTGCGCAGTCGCGATCGAACGCCCTGAAGAGGCAATGA